ATCCAATAAAATCTAATTCCCGCAAAACCTTACTCAGATAAGTTATATCAAACCACTTGTGATTTTACTTACAATTCATTTTCACCAAACAATTCAATTGCAATTCCAGGTATGAGGATAGGATAGCAAGTCAATGGCATAAAAAACAGTGGACCAAGCGTAACTTAACCACACATAGGGACATTTGTGATTTTTTCTACTTGCCAGACAATGTTTGTCAAAGTAACACATTATATTCCCTTTTACGATTTACAGCCTCACAATGCCTTGTTTCAGTCTGTTGCTCTTCTTAACAAAGCTCATTGTTCGAGTTGTCATGACATCCAACTTTCAAACTGTAATACTATGGTTTTTCTACTTTCCCATATGACTCAGAATTGAAAAATTTATTCACTTAGACAAATAAAACCAAATACAGGCAAAAATCACTGACAACAGATGTAAAAACTTCATCAAATATTAGACCAGGGGTGTGCAAACTGCGGCCCGCGGGCCAAATGCGGCCCGCAAGAAAAATTTGTGTGGCCCGCGGAGAAATAACAACTTTGAATGGTGTGCCCGTGAAACGAGCATTTAGTTTAGGACTTTAGGTAATCTGGTACGTGCGAGAAATTCTATAATCCTTCTGCGCTACAAAGCCTATACCAGTGCCTGAGTGCCACTGACGTATTAGCAAAACTAGCTAGCAAAGATCTGTTGCAAAATATACGATATATATTACAAAAACGAGTTTCTCACTGGCTTGGATTAAAGTCGGTGTGACGATAAATTTAAATAGCAGTTTCTTCAGAAGTTTATGCGTTTAACTCACTATTTCTGCAAGAAACTCTAATAATGCCATAGGGTGACTAGAAAATATAAACAATTTTTATGCTTGTAACTACTAGAAAGTCTATAATAAATAGGGGTGCGCCCCGCAGCTTTACTCAGTTTCTTGAATTCGGCCCGCCAGTGAAAAAGGTTGCACACCCCTGCATTAGACCATTAAAAAAATTAGCATTAGTGAAACACAGTATGGACAAATTGGTACTCCCGGGTTATGTGTACCAGGTTAGGGTTAGAGCATAAGTTTATTCCAATTTTCCTTATTTTAGTTATACTATGAGTTCGGGGACTGTCTGTGTTAGCCAAGTGAATATACACCCTTCCCTTAGGCTTCCGTCCATTTACACAACTTGATGTAAAGTAGACAAACAAAATTAGTTACCTTCTAAATATTGGTACAATGGCCAATGAAAGTAAAATCTAACTCTCACAAAGACTCACTCAGACAAAACAGTTTTTTGACTAAACTTACACTGGTAAACAGGGTTGTTGGGGCTTCGATTAAAGTTTGATTTTAATTACAAACTTTGAATAGTTTGGAATATTCCCTTTAAAACTTTAAAACCAAGTCTAAATAAAACATCAGCAAAACACTACAGATTACGAATAAATATTGGAAGCATTATAGCAACTTTTTTTTAATTCAATTCTCTCCAAATAGTATAAAAAATGCATATGTTAAGTTTATCAGAACATTTGCTTGCGGTATCTGAACACTAACACTAAAAACTAATTACAGTAAAATCTCATTCTCGAAAATTTTATCACATGCTTTAGATTTCGTGTTACAATTTAAATTATTGTCGTTGCACAATAGCCTTATTATAAAAGATATCACTCTAATTCAGAATATCCAAACTTGCAATGTAGTGCTCGTCAGTTGATGTACAATGCACGCAATAGAATATTAAAAAATGAAACAAGAATACAACGACGAATACTCGGCGATCCACAAAATATTTAAGGTGACCCAACTTGGGGTCGCGACCCACACTTTGGTGACCACTGTCTTATTGCAACCAAAACTTTTCTTACCAATAACAGGAACATCTATTTGATGTTTTTTCTTGCCTTTCACCCTGAACTAGGCTCTGTATAAGCTTCCACTGATATACATAAAATGAAATTTGAACAGTCAAATTTGTGAATTTGTTGCAATTATGATGATTTAGAATAAATAAATAAAAACCGATTTGGTTAGAGAAAGGTGGTAGAATAACTGAATCCAACTCATGAAAAACAAATAAGAAAACATATAAGAAAATTAATAGCAAGCCCTAATTGATTAATTTGCTCGGCGGTGTGGCACATTGTGCTAAGCGTTAGAAATACGCTCGCCACCGCACCATTGATTACCTTGCGTGGGTTTGCAGATTTGAATCCCTTGATGGAAAATTATGTGCGAGAGGATTGTTGGACTCCTCCCCACCATAACCGCTGGTCAGTTGCGGCTCCCTCCATCATCAAGTCCATGCTTTCAAAAACAAATAACTGGGTAACTAATCCCATACCGACATGAACTAGTAATTGGTGGTTCGCCATAGGATTAAGATGGCTTGTTCTTCCTCAAAATATGTAAATTCTCTTCTAATCTATCCTAATAATAATCTTCATTTTAAAACAAAATTAAGTTGTTGTATATCACGATCCTCAAAAAATAGTGAATTTAAGCTATATCTCCAACGTTAGGAACCCCAAAGCCTTGCCTTCCATATACCTACAAAATTACGAACTCAGCCCGGAAGTTACAATTTAGTCGTCATGGTTACCTAAATGGATATTGCTCATTGTTGCCTCACTGTGGCTGCAGTTGAAGTTCCAAAAATACCAAATTGAATGGGAGACGGGTTGATAGTTGCATAATATTGCTTGATGTACTACTAAAAAGTTCGTAGGTGTGTTGAGTTTGCATAATATTATTTGATGTACTGAAACAAAACGTCGGAATTGGGTTGCAATTAAATGAAATGTCCTGATCCTCAGATGTCAATCATCGGAGACCACATTCATGAATTTTGTTGTTCTATACTGTCACCTAGCGTAGACTTTTTCAAATATTTGCTCGTGTCAATCATGACTATTTATCCATACATTTGCGGTGTCTCAAAAATGTCGTGTCCCAGTTGTCTCACGTGCCCCCTGTGTCGCGGTTGTCTCACATGTCCCAATTCCCCCTCGTGTTGCACTTGTCCCAGGCGCCCGACATATTCCACTCATCGCTCTTGTCCCACGTTTCGCACCTGTCCTACGTGTCCCACTTGTTGCACGTGTCTCACTTGAACCACGTGTCCCAATAGTACCACTTGTCCCACGTGTCGCGCTTGTCCCACGTGTCCCACGTGTCATACTTGAAATTTTCAGTGGTTGAAGATAAAATTTTCCCCCAGAAGGCTATTACTTTTATTCATTCCAAATATTTCTGTTAGCTCTGTGAGATTTGTTTTTGTTTGCTATGGAGTCATTAAATGTTCTGCGGTCATCGGACGCCATTTTGTGTCCTACTGTACTGCTTTGCTTGGTGTGAATATATTTGTGGACTGTGATCTGACGGTACGGTAAACCGTACTGTACTGCGAACAGACGTGTCCATATATTTGGGCGTAGCTCTCTTGTTCAATTACATATTCAAAGAAATTTTACATTGAATACATGTACAGTATTTATGAACATGTACTTATCTTGGGCAGTTTTCAGGTCTAATGCAAGACGGTTTTACGGCTAAACTGACGACTGATAATCACCTAATAAGGATATTCCAAATAGAGACAAGCATTAAACAAAGTCGTTCTATAATCAATTGGTAATTTTTTGACTGAAGTATTGTTGAACTTTTTGGCATCGAATAAAAAGTTCAATCTGGATGATTCCAACGTCCAGAAAGTAGAATCGCATTATAAAAATTGCAAAAAATTTGTAAAAAGTCCGGAGGAAATAGGTCAGAAAAATTCGTCATGTGGAATATAATTATGCGATTCGGAATTTTTCGTAGATTAGAGCGACTTGCACTTTTTTTAATCGCTTTTGCAGTTATATATATAAGTTGAAACTTCCGATATCGAAATGTTAGGACTGCATTGCTTTAGCAAATAAATTGGTATTTGCCGTTATTTGCTGGCTGATTCTGTTGTTCTGAGCTGACGCTGACACTGTATATGCATATCTCCGTATACATGTTTTGAAATGATAAATATTTACGCATACAATGAACAGGTCCAAAGCACGGCTGATAAGTCAGACGAAATCAAAGTTTCACTGCAAACACGAGTTACGTTAATTGTACAACTATTAACCAAAAACGGCTAAATTACCCAATATCTCATATTTGTATATGCGTTTACCAATCTTTGACGGCCTTGTTACATGCATACCGCCTCTTGCGTTCATAAGGGTGACATAGGAAACTTATTCTACCAAACACATTTCGTCGCTGCGGAAGTATGTGTACCAAAATGGAAGTAACTAATTTTGTTCGTCTATTTTACATCAAGTTGTACTGAAACCTATGGACAGCAGTGACACAGACAGTCCCTGAACTCGTAATAGAACTAAAACAAAGAAAAACAGAATTAAATTATGGCCTAACCCTACCTGGTAAACACACTGCGGGAGTATCCACATTGCTATCAATATAATTGGAGATTTTTGTTATCGACCGATGTGAGAAGTGCCCAGATTTAACATTTTTAATAATAGTCTTCTATTGTCTCTGAGTCGTATGATATCGATATATAGGGACACTGGCACAATTCATCAAATTCCATTTTCCTAATCTTGCAATATCAAGACAATAATTTTATAAAAGTTAAAATATATTTCAAGTGGTGTACGTGGTTCGAAACAGTGGTCGGCAACCATCGGGGAACAATGCAATATCATACTGTTAGAGGCAATATGACCATGATATCTTAAATTAGAACACGGTATGATGAAATGTTTACACAAAATGATAGTCAACAAAGAGATTTAATAATCAATATCGAACATTAGAATTTTCTGCATTAAAGTTGGAGTTGGACCATCAAGTTAAGTAAAATAAGCGTTTTTGAAGGGCGGTGCGCACATGGCGAATTTTTCTGACTTATTTCCTTGGTACATTTTACAAACTTTTGAACTTTTTACTCGATATCAAAAAGTTCAACAATACCTGAGCCTACAAAATCAGGGGTGTCTCAGAAATGTCGTGTGACACTTGTCCCATTGGGACACGTGGGGCAAGTGGGAAACGTGGGACAAGTGAGACACATGGGACAATTGCAACAAGTGGGACACGTGAGGCACATGGGAGAAATGCGACAAGTGGGACACGTAAGACAAATGGGGCACGTGGTACTATTGGGATACGTGGGACAAGTGGTACTATTGGGACACGTGGTTCAAGTGGGACACGTGCAACAAGTGGTACTATTGGGACACGTGGTTCAAGTGGGACACGTGCAACAAGTGGGAAACGTGGGACAAGAGCGACAAGTGGGATATGTCGGACGCGTGGGATAAGTGCGACACGTGGGACAACTGCGACACGTGAGACAACTGGAACAAGCGGGACCAATAGTACACGTAGGACAAGTGAGACACAATTTTTCTGAGACACCGCAAATGTATGGATGAATAGTCATGACTGACACAAGCAAATATTTGAAAAGTCTATGCTAGGTGACAGTATAGGACAACAAAATTTATCAATGTGGTCTCCGATGATTGGCACCTGATGATCAGGACATTTCATATCATTTAAACTCAACTACGACTTTTTGTTTCAGTACATCAAATAATATTATGCAACTATCAACCCGTCTCCCATTCAATTTTGTATTATTGGAACTTCAACAGCAACCACTATGTGGCAACAATGAGCAATATCCATTTAGGTATCCATGGTGACTAAATTGTAACTTCCGGGCTAAGTTCATAATTTTTTAGGTATCTGGAAGGCAAAGCTTTGGGGTTCCTAACGTTAGAGATATAGTTTAAATTCACTATTATTTGAGGCTCTTGATATACAACAACTTAATTTTGTTTTAGAAAGAAGATATTATTAGGATAGGATAGAAGAGAATTTACATATCCTGAAGGAGAACAAATCCACCTCAATCATATGGCGAACCACCGGTTACTAGTCCATGTCGGGTATGGAATTAGTTAGCCAATTGTTTGATTTTGGATGCATGTACTTGAGAATGGAGGAAGCCGTAACCGACCAGCGTTTACGGGAACCACTCCACTGGCCCACGGTGAGTGGGAGTCCAACAATCCTCTCACACATAATTATCCATCACAGAATTTAAAACAAGGCAACCCACCCACGCAAGGTAATCAATGATGCGGTGGCGAGCGTATTTCTAACGCTTAGCACGATGTGCCGCACCGCCGAGCAGACTAACCAATTAGGACTTGCCAATAATTTTCTTTTACGTTTACTTTTCTGTTTTTGAGTTGGATTGAGTTATTGTCCTACCTTTCTCTGTTTATCTTATAATCCCAACCCAATATAAACACAAATTAGAAAATGAATCAAATAATTAATGGTGGGGCAATAACAATAAATTATTTTGAAAGTTACCGAGAGTTTAACTCAAAAGTTTACTTAAGAATTTTAATTTTTATAATTTATTGAAAAAGCAATATTTATGTGTAATCATTCATTTCCACTTATCAGTGATGACTTGTGAAAAGCTCTGTTTAGAGTGTAGCAGTTAACTGAACACTCAATTAAATGCTTGAAAGTGCTAAATTGTATTCCCAATGTTCTGTTTTAGTCACAGAGCTTTTATGAGAAGTCTTCTCCCCATTCATGGTCATGTTTTGTTGCCAATATTAAAATTCTCCAGAAATGGCTTCCGAAACTGATTCATTTTCAGATATATTTGACATTAAAATACTGCATGAAATAGTGCTCAAAGATAAGCTACTATAATACCCAATTCTCAGTAATAATATCACATTATATGGAAGTTATATGGAATATTATCGGCGAGCTAGAGACCCATTATTGTGGTATAGTCCAGTGGGTTGCGACCCAGAAGTTCTTTAAGGTGGGCCACGAAGGCAGATGTTACATACAGTTTTCGATTAGATCGAAAAATGGGCATTATCAATATATTTAGCAATAATAATTATGAAGCAATGTAGCAATTAGAATTATGCGTTGTGTCGCCTTAATAATTTCATTACGCCCCTACATGTTGGAAAGTGTAGGGAGTCTACTGGGCAGATTAGTAATTTGTCTAATTCGGGTAGACAGCAGCAAAGGTGCCGGTTCATTTGTAATTGTTAATGGTATGTTCAATGAGTTGCACTTTAAATAACGGCTGAACCAGGGTAAATAGGTATACCTCATTCAAACACCCTAACTTGCAAAAGTAATAGTAAATTGCAAGTAGATGCATTGTTTCTTTTCTCATTTATTAACATCTTATTGTGGGTTGTAAAAAAGGCAATGAAATTGGCAACACAAAGTTGATCATTAATAAAGTAAAATTAATAAAGTTAATAAAAGATAAGTCAAACTTATAAATTTTTCAAGCTTGCATGAGTTTGTATAAGTGGATTTTATTCGAGACAGCATGAGACTGATGTGAGAAAAATAAATTGGCCAAAGATGTGTTTTCACATTCATATTGTATTATGATGAGGTAGGTATACATGGTATTTTGATCGTATTTTTGATTTAGCTGTTTACACCTTGGTGTGGATGCTAGTTGTAAAATTGTTACGTTTATCTGTATTTAAAACACCAACAAATTAAAATTAAATTCAATATTAACCTCAAAACTCAATTCCATGAAATTGGTAAAATGTTGGGGTTTGTCGCAACAGTATTGCCAAGTTGGGTGCAATGGCCTAGTGTTGGCATTTCATGGTAAAAATGTCGGAAGTAAATATGTCTCAAACATTGAATCGGAACGATCCCGGACCTTTCAAAAACCGTATCTACTCACATATAAGTGGAAAAGAGCAAAGCGGACAAGTTTTTTAAGTTTCTAAAACATCAGCAGTTTAGACATAACAAGGAATCCAGGTCTGCACTTATGAGAAAGGAAAATTATTTCAGCATGACATCTTCATGAGCTTATATTATGACAATATCAAGTTTTGTACCTAAAGCAAAAATGTTGGTGAAAATATGGATTTCTTATGGATTATACCTAAAAATTTTATTTTATGTAGATTTGTCTGCTTTTGTCATTCAATATTACACAAAAACTAATTAAAATTTCTTCGGTACTTTTGATGCAATTATGTGTCCAAAAGTAGTATCTCGATACTTGTTGAGAGCATTGTTCAGGGAAAAGTAAAGATTCAAGTTGTGGTTTGAATGTGATTAGAATCAGAAGGATAGGCTCGCACAGAAGACGAGAGACGTTTAACATCAGGTGTTATGGTGGATAGCTTAAAATGTACATTCGCCTGTATGTTGCCAGTTGGGAGACAAATTTACATCCCAGAGATGCCAAAGTACAGCGGAGATCGACATGGCGACCATTTTAGTCACAATTTTGATCCCTGCTCCGTGGAACACCTTGAAGAAGCTCGCGGAACAGCAGAGTTTTTCTGAACACAGTTTGAGAAACGCTGGACTAGGGAAATACAATATAAACAATTCGTAACGCTGACTTGAACATTAAAAGCTTTGTGATATTTTAATATGAGGACAAAGTATTGTAATTCATGCGGCTATCACTACTCAGTGGTGGCATTCTATTTATTCTGATTTTTTGGTAAAATGATTACACAGTGACTAAAAAACAATAAATTATTTTGAAAGTTACCGAGAGTTCAACCCAAATGTTTGTGTTGAATCACTTAAAAAGTAGAAATTAAGATGTCGATTTCGAGACTGGTCATTCACATTTAGAAGTTACAATCAAATTTAGTTCGTCCAACAAGATTATAAATTTATGACTAGATCGGGGTATTTTAGCGTGAGGTCTATCGCATGTGTAGACCACCCAGGTGCAACCTGAAGTCTACTGTGTGACAGATAATACAGTGCACCTCGTGCTAATACAGTACACCTCTTGCTAAAGTGCTAATGGGAGGTAGATCTCATGCTAAAGTAGCACCGACTCAGCTAAAAATTTATAAATAGCCAACCAGCGTAGACAATGTAGCAGTCAGTAGTTTATTTTTCACCAAAATGAAAATGCACTTACTGTAAACAAAAATTAGAAGAAAAAAAAGTTGAAAATGACATTTCTTGGTGAGGGACGACACAAAAAAACAAATTTGGTTATCGAGCAGCTACACCTAACATTGAACTGAATTGGACATACAATTTGTATAATCACAACATTTTAACTGGGGAATCCTAGCCTTGAAATAATGTTTTAATTTTATTGCATTCACATCATGCCAACTTTGGCACGGCGGTGTGGCTCAACGGGCTAAGCGTTAGGAATACGCTCGCCACCGCACCTCTAATTACTCTGCGTGGGTTCGCAGGTTCGAATCCTATGCTGGGATGGTTATGTGCGAGAGGATTGCTGGACTCCTCGTCGTCGTTGGGTGGTTCACGTAACTGCTGGTCGGTTACGGCTTCCTCTACCACCAAGCCCATGCTTCCGAAAACAAACAATGTAACTAATCCCATACCCGACTTGGAAGGGTAACCGGACTAGAGGCCGTGGTTCGCCATATGGATAAGCCGTCTTATCGGCTTTTCTCTCCCCCGGGATAAATACCGGTATGTAAATCCTATCCTAACTTATAAATAGAATGTTTTAAGAATACTGAAATAATTCTAATCGAATTTTAGATTATTTTGAATCAAATATAACACTTTTGTATTACAATTAAGATTGACCAATTCAATATTCATTTTTCAATTATTATAAATAACTGGAAGATATAGGAAATTGTGGCTGACTATTTTTGTGTAAGTTGCATATTTCTGTTGCTTACTTTTGAATTCGTTGATTTGGAGAGTTTTGTTTTCTCGGTAAATATTATAGTTTAGATATTTGTGGACTCATTTTGGTTCTGTATTGTTAGGAGATGGTATCTCTCATTATACTTTCTTCACAATAGGGATATTCGAGTATGATATTATGATATAAAATAAGTGCTTGGAAGACGATAGTTGAACGAATGTCACGTCAGGATTTTTATCTTCCCAGATTGTAGAGTTATTTGTATCAGTGGTTTCGCAGTTTTGCTTCAAATTGATTAATATTTATCGATAAAGGATAATTTCAATGTTGAAATATGCATAGAACAGAAAGTAAAATAGTAACATTGTTTGGCCTTGCATGGAATGAACAGCAACTTCTGATCAAATTAGATTTTCAATTATATTTGTGTATGAATACATTATGTTTAGCTGTAGATTGGTTTAGATTGATAAAAATATGCTTATGTTACTGGTTTTAGCCAATACTTTTAGTCCTGTGTATATTTTGTTTGAACATAGCAGTATATGTAAGATAAATAAATAATATAATGTAGACAATGCACAATATCTTGTTAGATAAGGATGAATTTAGGCAAATTCTGTAATATTCATTAGCAAGCGAAAGTATTGGAAGGGTTCATATCCGACTAGGAACTTTCATTTTGACAGTTTTCAATTTTGTGTTAGGGCATCAAC